TTTTTTTTTTTAATTTGAAATTTTATTTCTTTTGGATTGTATATGATGTTGTATAATTTTGGAAAGTTTGAAAAAAATAAAAACTAAAGTCATGGAAAGATTGCTAAATCCTAGCAGCTGAACAGGAAGTTTAAATCACTAATATTAGATTTCGATAACAAACATAGTAGCCAAGAACATAAACTACAGGTCTATAGCCCTAGTCTTTAATATTTAGCCAGATATACAGTAATCAAACCAGTAATTTAGAAGTTGTAGCAGGAAAAGTATACTATCTTCAGTCTGAGTTTTGATGAATGCTAGTATGTTGTGATATTGTGTTATATAAACACATGTAGTCAGCACTTCTTTTTTGTGTAAAAACTTGTAATTTCCAGATTAGAAAGATTTCCACATTAGGCACATTTTAAAATCTTAAGACTGTAAAACTTTCTTTTCTTTGTTTACTTTCTGCATGATCGTATTTAAATTACCATATGATGAATCAGTGTTTATTTTCATTAGGCTCCTTAATAGACAGCTGAGAAATAAAAATAAGTCAATAGCTCTGATAATGATAAAGACAATCTTAATTAAAGGAGAAAACAGGACGCTGCTGAATGAGAAATCATGACCTTTTGTTTGAATTGCTAATGGGTCCAAAATTGTCCACGAAACATGGGCATCCAATTTCTATTAACTGTATATTCATGCTATATAAAAATCAAAAAATAACAACCTTTTAAAATTTAGTAAATATAACATATTAAAAATAAAGCAGTGACAGAACAATTGTCAGAGTCTCTTGTCGGGAGAGATCCTGCACAGTGCAGCTTGGGCTGGGCTGTAGCCCATGTCACTTGCCAGCAGTTTCAGGACACCCTTCTCGACCCATGCCCTTCTCAACCCACAAGCTGGACTTCTGCAGCAGGGCCACCTCTTCTCCATTCAGAATTGTGGGGAAATTCCCCTCTGCCCAGTCCAGCTGGGGTCTGGTTTCTGCGTCTTTCCAGAACAGTGCAAAAGAATTAGAAGGAATCAGAATTTGTCCAAATATCCTGTCTGTAAAAAAGATGTACTGCTAGAAAAATGGGAAGTAGGAGCAGGGAAGGTATATATTATAAATGATCTAAGGATAAGGAACAACTTACAGCAATAAGTTGGTAAGAATTATTCATCATGGCTATTAGCATGTTGAGTAGAACAACCAGAGAGATTACATTATAGGTACCAAACATGGTGGCCCCCACAAATTCAGTAAATTCATGCCTTGCTTTCACATTGGTCACATAGAGATTGATGAGTCCAAATATAGACCAGAATAATGACTGCAGTGTTTCAAATAATCTGAAAAACAAAACCCGAAAGGAATAGCTGTTAAATAACTGTACATGTTCTTTTCAAATTTTTCAGTTTTTCCCCAAATACACAAAAGTCCTTGACTTGATTGAGATGAATGATACTTATCACAGTATAGGCAAAATATGTGGAATATCTTTCTAGGGAAACAATGATGTAACCTTTCAAATCTGACCCTCTAGATATACAATACTGAATGTATAAATAAGCCTGTGACTAAAAGGTTGATTTTGTTCAAACCTATGAGGGATAAATAGAGTTTTAGAGATCTTATTTTGGACATCTGTCTTTGAAGTATTTTCACCCTTTGCCTTGACTGTGGAGGGTAGAACAAGCATCCAAAAGTAACTCAGTGATTGTGTTTCTCTGAGATGGTAAAACACTTATGACGTCCTCATTCCTACTTGGTTTTGTCAGTTTATGCAATTTCTAGTTTGTGTTGAGAGCCATTGAGATAAGAGGAGTTGTATAACTGGGAGGACACTATTATCATTAGCATATGTTTTGCTTTACAAAGAATGCAAAAAACCACAAGACAAAAATGCGTCTATCGAATGAAACTTGTGTTTTTATATCTAAATGATATATTTCCTTAGAGAAGTTTGGGACAACAGCTAGGAACCTAAATAACCAACTTTAAAAAAATTCTCTGTGATTAGATAGATTGACATAATTTCACTTTCGTACAATGTTCAGTTACACTATAGTCATAAGCATGGGTCCTGCGTTAGCCCAGTTGCTCCTGAAAAGTTTGGAGCAAAATTTTCTGCTTGTCTGGTCCCGTATCTTGAGATTAATTATGGAGCGAGTTTTTCCCATGGCCTCTCTCCTGCTCCTTCACCCTGACACCAGAAGCAGGTTACCCGGACAGGATGTGTGGGCCAACAGCACCGTCCCCACTGCACCTGGAGCAGGGAGGCTGCTGAACTTGTACCACCCTGGGCAGTCCTGCATGCTGGGAACCACTGTCCAAAATTGGGCAAAAGTTAACCCTTCAGCCCCTTTCCCACCATGCGGTTTCATCTGCCAAACGTAACTTTGTCATGAGACCCAGTACAGTGCTGTCCTACAGAGATACCCGAGAGGGCAGTACGCTTTTATTCATAGAAACTCGAGGTCCTGTCTCTCTGCTACTGTAATACAGTGTATATGAATGGTAAAGTACTGCTCTGGAGTCTCTTCTATGATTTACACCTGTCTGAGCACAAATTGAACAACAACTATTCTCCCCTGCTCAAAGTAGCAGAAAAGGCTCATGAGGCATCTCAGTTTGCCTTGACACCATCTTCTGGCACTAGTACCAGTAGTCCCCCGTATTCCACAGGTGAATAATATTGCATCCCTCAATGTTCAGCTCTGAAAAATTTCCCTGTGCTTTCTGTTCAGATCACACAAAGTTTAGATCTGCATAAGATGTTATTAATATGCAAGACAAATATGCTGTGCCTGAGCAAAGTTACTTGATTAAGATGATATAAAAGGTGTTATTTTTATAAAATTACTTACTTTGAGAGGGAAGCCATTGGTAATAAACATATTGTAAAAACAGTCTAGATATGATTCATAGACGCTAATAGGGAACAGGTATTTATAGCAGGAGTTTGATTCAGATTGGAAGTTGAAAGATGAGGTAGAGAATTAGCATTCATTTGGTAGTGTTTTGTACTATAGATGAACCACAGAACAGAGTGAAATAAAATTGATTTTTAAGTGAAAGAAAATAAACTTTAAAATAGAAATTAGATTACATTATTTGATTGTGTGGAGTAGACTCAGGGTCAGTAGAAGTCTGGACTGAATGTTTTTTTCTGCCTCATCTACAAGGAATCTTTACGCTTTCGAACATCAAACTTATTTAATGCCCACAAGTAGACATGGAAGAAATGCAGAGTGGCAGCTGCCTGGATAAGTAAGATCTGATCTGTGACTTTTTTCCATTGATTCTAACTAGGTACTTTCTAATCTCATATTATCTCCCCATCCTCATTACCTTTTTACCTTTTGAGATATCTTGAATTGTACAGACTTCACTGTGGTATGGGATGAACATTATTAACAGAGTGATATAATGTTAATATTCATTTTTTTTATTAGGGTAACTTTAGATGTGTCTGTCAGGACACCGCTGTAATGCCAACAGAAAACAGACAGCCTTTTTCCTGTAAACAACATCTAAGTGATTAAAATGTTGGGGGCAGAGGGGAAGGGTAGAAATAGATCAGCCACTTACGTTGAAAATGCATTATTCTGCTTTTCACATCGTATTCCTTTGCAGTTGCCGGGTTCGTTTGTCTCATAGTAGAAGTACAGCTGGTTCAACCCATTTGCAAAAGCTAGCAGCACAAGGCAGTATATGAAGAGAAACTTCAAAATGTCCAACAACATTCTTCCTAGAGATATCTGCAGAGGTCCCAGGTGAGAATTCGCAGTGAATAATGAGATCAAGCGCAGGGAGCTAAAGATGTTTGCAATTGCAAACAGGGCCTCAGCCACCAGGGTTGGATGCCACATGTCCCAGCTCTCCCGTGGAACTAACCCACTGTACTGAAAACAAGCAGAAGGGAAGAAATTACTCCTTGTTTACTGCATAAACAAGTATGTCAGGTTCTTTATAAGCTGTTCAGTTAATCTGCAGATAGCACAATAAAACTAAACATCTATTGGAAAGCAACGTCTTCAGAACAATTTTTTTTTGTTTTAGCAAAATAAAAAATGGGCAGTACCCAGGTGTTCGTCCTTCATTTTTAGCTGTAGGGTGGTCTATGCTTTCTAGTCTTTTGCCTCTGTTTTGCATTTGGTTATTATTTTCACAGTAGCAAAAGCAATAATTTCTAACAATTCTGACTGGGAGTAAAAGGAAGAGTTTTTGAACACCTGCGTTTTACAATTACAGAAAATTTCAGCTGTAAAATCAGGTAAATTAGTTCTTTGCAGAACTGTGCAGATATTGCAATGACGGATAGAAGCATGAAAACTTTAGCAAGTTGGAAGAAAACATTTAATCAAGGAATAAGTATATCGCTTAATCACTAACACAGGACCAATGATGAAAAAGCTGTTTATTAATGAACCATGGGAAACTGCTTGTGTATCTCATTATCAAAGAGTCTGATCCCTGGAACTATGACTTTTTACTGTTCCAGCTCTACCAAAAAATTTCTTGAAGATCAAAGGTATTACTTTGAACTGAGGCTTAACTACTGTGGCAGACTCATTATTATTTATTGGGTCTCACTAATCTGTTTTACCAAATGTATCAGAGCACAGAATCTGTTATGAAGCACTCTCAAACCATGAGATAATACAACATGAAGCAGATTTCAAAGAGGGACTATGGTGTGGTCTGTATTTATCTACTCTAGGCCACCCAGATGCATCTTTCAGGGCTGCTGAGTATGCCATCAGTAGTAAGGAAAGGGACTTCTCTCTGTCACTGGGGCCAGATGAAACAACATAGACATGCATCACACCATTTCCACACCATGCTCATTCTCAGAAGAAAGTGACTGCTCGCAAGGTGGCTTGAGACCACCTAAACCCATATAAGTCTATAGGACCAATGAGATGCATTCCAGAATCCTGAAGAAATTGGCTGACGTAGTTGCCAAGCCACTCTCCATGATATCTGAAAAGTCATGGCAGTCAGGTGAAGTCCTTGGAGATGGTAAAAAGGGAAACATTGCACCCATTTTTAAAAAGGCTAGCAAGGAGGACTCTGGGAAGTACTGACCTGTCTGCCTCACCTCTGTGCCTGGGAAGGTCATGGAGCAGAACCTCCTAGAATATGATGGATTGACCACATCAGTAGACAAGGGAAGAGCTACGGATGTCATCTATCTGGAATTCTGTAAAGCCTTGATGCGGTTCCCCACAACATCCTTCTCTCTAAACTGGAGAGATATAGATTTGATAGGTGGACTGTTGGGTGGATGAGGAATTGACTGGATAGTTGCGTCTATCCCCACAGAGGGTAGTGGTCAACGTATCAATGACAAGATGGAGATCCGTGACGAGTGGTGTCCCTCAGGGGTCTGTACTGTGACCAGTACTGTTTAATATCTTTATCAATGACATATACAGTGGGATCGAGTACACCCTCAGTAAGTTTGCAGATGACACCAAGCTGAGTGGTGTGGTTGACATGCCTGAGGGATGGGATGCCATCCAGAGGGACCTGGACAAGTTTGAGGAATGGGCCCATGCGAACGTCATGAGGTTCAACAAGGACAAATGCCCTGGGTCCTGCACCTGGATTAAGGCAAGCCTTGGTATCAGTACGGGCTGGGGGATGAAGGGATTGAGAACAGCCCTGCCGAGAAGGACTTGGGGGATACTGATGGATGGAAAGCCAAACGTGAGCCAGCAATGTGCGCTCAGAGCTCAGAAGGCCAACTGTCTCCTGGGCTGCATCAAAACAAGTGTGGCCAGCAGGTTGAGGGAGGTGATTCTGCCCCTCTACTCTGCCTTGGTGAGACCCCACCTGGAGTCCTGCATCCAGCTCTGGAGCCCTCAGCACAGGAAAGACATAGACCTGTTGGAGCGGGTCCAGAGGAGGACCATCAAAATGATCTGAGGGATGGAACAACTTTCCTCTGAGGACAAGCTGAGAGAGTTGGGGTTGTTCAGCCCGGAGAAGAGAAGGCTCTGGAGAGACCTTATTGCAGCCTTCCAGTACTTAAAGGCAGCCTATAAGAAAGATGAGGACAGACTTCTTATCAGGGCCTGTTGTGATAGGACAAGGTGTACTGGTTTTAAACTAAAAGAGGGCAGATTTCAACTCAATATAAGGAAGAAATTTTTCACACTGAGGTTGGTAAACCACTGGCACAGGTTGCCCAGAGAGGTGGTAGATGCCCCATCCCTCAAAACATTCCAGGTCAGGTTGGACGGGGCTCTGAGCAATGTGATCTAGTTGAAGATGTAAAGGTGCTCATGGCCAGGGTTTGGACTAGATGACCTTCTAGTTGTCTCTAGATGACCACTCTATGATCCTGTGATTCTGTCATTCAGATTGCAGATGGTAACTGGGCATTGTTTTGGACAGCGCCAGTTGGCACAGGACCCCACCATGTCAGGCGTGCTCTAACCAATTTGTATTGCAGGTGAGACAGTCACAGTGCCTGAGAGCAATCATAGAATAGTTTAGGTTGGAATAGGAGGTTTTATTAGGCACAGTTTTATTTGCTCATATAGAAGCAACCATAGCATCTAACAGTCTTGTGTTTTTGTGGCTGAGAACTGCCTAACTGGAGACTATTATTGTCCATTGAAGAGTTAAGAACATTTCAACCACCAGTGATATTTGTTCTCTACAGAGTAGAGAATTAAATCCAGACCTACTGGAGTCATAGTCAGTACTCTCTTCATTAGTCTATCCTCTCCCCTAATGATCATGTTGTAAAATCATATCTTACTGCATTTGATATTGTAGCTTCAAGAAAGATGCTATTCTGCCTCATCCACTTTTGCCCTTCAGTCCAATTCTGATTGGTTACAAGATCAGTGAAGAAGTAACAGTCAGTAGAAAACAGAACTGAGTTATCAGAAACACCAGCTAAGAGATAAAAGCAAGAAGAAAATGAAGAATAAAAAATTTTCAATGTTTATTGAGAAAAGAGAGGTGAGAACTCCTCAGCATGTTTACTATAATGTCTTTCATTGAATAATATTATGCAGTCTATTACTGTGAATTCTGATGGCACTTTAGAACCCTGGTGCATGAAAACTTGGACCTATTAAATAACTAGGAACAGTTGTCAGTACAAGCAAAGGTTAGGTGCTGAACAGTGCAGCAGATGCTCAGATTAAGGAAAAGTACCCAAGGTGGGTTGGGGGAATAAGGTAAAATATATTAATGAAAAAATTTGAAGAAATTTGAAACTAGGAAGAGATGGAGGTTTTGGTAGAGAATCAAAAGCATCCAACTGCAGACATATTTTAGGTGAAGGCAAGTAGTATCAGGTTCCAAGGAAGTTAAACAAGCAGAAGGAAAAAAAAGAAAAGAGAAAATAATAAGAAAGAAAAATCTAAGGAAATACTCTTCTGAGAAAAGCATGGAACTACAGGACACCGAATAAAGTTAGGATATTATATAGTAAGAAAGCAAGGATTAAATCAAACTAATCAGGCGTGGAGAGCCATGTCTGAGCTCTCTGTCACCTCCTTTTACAGTCAGCAAAGAAAAATGAGCATTTCTATAGTAGGAAAACAGATGACCCAAGCAGGTCAGATGGATTGCTCTTTAACTTTCTGTTTCTCCTCATTGATTATTAGAATCATAGAATTGTAGAATCTTTGGGCTGGAATGGACCTTTAAGGTCGTCTAGTCCAAGGGTAAGGGAAAGCCTATCTTATAGCTGTAGTCTGAGAAGATGAATCCAATGTCATGTTTTCTAGAAGAGATGAAGTTAAGGAGAAAGGTAAGAAGAAAAGACTTTTTCCATGATGTTCTGGATTGAGATGTAAAACTGTTGTGTTCAAACAGTCAGTTTCAACACATGCCAGTCTAACAAAATAACATATCCCTTGGTGTTATTGACTTGCTATGCAAATAAAAGATCAAATGACCTCTTATTTGTAAAAGGGAAATCAATGGCACAACTGTGTTATTTCAGCTTAACTGACTCTGGCTTTTTTAGGCTCAAGTGCTTCCTGCATGTGTGGATACAATGCAAAAGGTCTCATGGTTGTAAGCAGAGAGTGTGGGCTGTTATTTTAGTTTTGAAGAGACATTATTTAGGAGACTGGAAATATTTGGCTGAAAAACAGTGAGAAAGGTGAAGACCTCAAAATTAAGTTTGGAAATTATCTGTGAAATACACTAGCTGAAAGAAGACAGCAAATTATATAAAGAAACTCATGACTATAAGAGGGCTCTGACAAAAAAACCTTACTGGTTCCACTAACCAGAAGATGCTGAATAGAGATCTAGAAATATCAAAGATGAACCAGGAGAACAAAGAAGCACATGTATGAAAAGGAAAGGAAACCAGAGGAGCAAAAAGACTAGGCATATTAAAACCAGAAACAGTGAAAATATGAAAAAAAAAATAAACTGTATTTTAGGACCAAACAACCCAAATCATGAAGAGATGAAGTATTTGTTCTCTCGCTCATGCTTGTTGATGTTCTTCTGTTCTATATAGAATAAATACATGGTTATTTTTCTAGGGAATGGAAAATGGTAGGAGCAAATATAGCAATGCTGAGCTTGTTGTAAATCACGACATTGATACTTTGCAGTCTTTCTTCTAGAATTTTGTGACCCTGATGAATTTCTGTCCCCACTTCAAATGCAAATAAAACCTGTTGACATGTAACAAAGCCAAACAACATTTGACATGATTAAATAATACCTATCATTGGCTTGTTGGTTGAAGGAAATATACATAGCACAGCAATAGAAAATTAAAAAGAGCAGAAAACAAATTGGGCAGTGTATAAACAGTAGAGTTTCAAGGCACATATATGATGATTGTGCAATGTCATCCAGGGAATACAAGAGCAATTCTTGATCCTTACTCAAAGGAACTGAAATGCAAATCCAGTAACAGAACCATTCATGAGAAAAAAAGCTGAGTGATCACTGTTGTCCCATGAGGACAAAAGTCATGAACTGTAGATCTCACGTAATCTCCAAGAGAGATCAAACAGACATATAGATCAGGCTACCTGAATGTTTAATTGGCTGTTGCATCTTGGTCAAATGTGAACTCCTTTTTTCTGATAATGAAAAGAAAGGTTAAGTAATATCCACTTCAGGAAAAGAACTTTAAACCCTTTTCTGAAAGGATCTGTGCACTGTTTCTATTTTAAAATGTATGTCCCAATCTTTGCATTCATTATGCTAAATTTCAGAGCATAAGTAGGAAGAGTGGAGGGAGTGGTTTAGCAAAGAGCTTCAAAGCAGTGATTGCATTGACAAATTAAGCCTATAATTATTCAGGGGGAAGTGGGGTTAATATTCCTATGTAAATGGACATTTTTTCTGTGAATCTGGTGAAGTATCAATCAAAACCATTTTACAATGGAAACATATAAGAAGATGACGTTAGCTTCTGCAGAACTGGTGGCAGAAGAGAAATATCATCTTATTTACTACTAAACAGAGAAGATCTGACACAGTGATCATTAAGCCAGTAAATATGGAGACAAATGATGTATTTTTAGTTACTTTTCAGAGTTCTTGTCTTGAACCCGTTTCCCTAGTAGCTTTTCATGTCAGTGGCTGAGATACATAATCATTAACGTGAACCCACAGGAAATCTCTAGCAGAGTTGGAAACAAGCAGCACTGGGTCCAATGCTCAGGGTTAACAAATATTTAAGATCAAGTAAGCAGGGTCTGTATATAACTTGGCATTGCACCTAACTTTATGCATAGGTACAAAATAAATTACCTTCAAAAAACATAAAAAGAACTATTTTTCTTAGAGCATAATGACTTCTATTTGTATTTATAACCCTCCATCAAAACAGATGTGTTGCTTAAAATCATGTGACAATGCACTATCTATAATCACATTATTTACTGGGGAGAGAGCATTTTCACTGGATATACTCCATAGTTTAAAAAGACCTTACGTGTTGATAAACAGAGACAAAAAGCATTTTCCTTTGAAAAATGTAAGAAGTATTCATTTTATTTGAATACTGGCAATGAAATTGATAACTTTGAGTTGTCTTAGCAGTTGTCTCATCCTGAAATTACACTTTTGGTGTATTTTACACTATCCCATCAGCTGCTGTAAATAATATCTGTCTGCTTAACTACTGTATCTGTCAGAGAGCCTGAAATGGGCAATAAACACTACATTTTTCTCTGGGAGCATCTATCACACAGCAGAGTAGTATGAGGGCACTCACATAATTTTATTCAAGGGACTTGGTTAAAATGTTTTCTTAGGTGGCTTGAGCTGATTCATAAAATGTAGAAAACATATAAGAAAACTAGTCTGTAGATTTGATTCAATAAATAGAGAAAAGCTGTATTTTAGAAAAACCTACCTTGTAAGATTTAGAAAATGAAAATAAAAGCTTTATAAAACATACTGGTTAAATTTGGCATCCTCTCAATCTCATCTGGCACAGAGGTAGAGAACTCTGTTGTAGGTATTTGAAGGAAGTGTGATTGTGTATTGTTACATTTGCATTACTCCGTTGATTACATCATCACGTGTTTCAATTCCTTAGCACAACTGAGGCTCTTTTAAGGAACAAAAGGTATTTGGGAGCAACATTGTACATGCAGTAAAAAAAAAATAGCTGCAGAACCAAAGATAGTGCTTTATGCACTGTGTTGATTATGACTGGCATGCAAGCACTAATTTGGAGAGTAATGGGTGCACATTATCCCAGATACTGTCACCTTGGAGTCTGATTACCGTAAGCAGAAGCTGTCTGGAAGATGAAAGGATTATAATGTCTTCTAATTAATATTATTTGAAAGTGAATAATTGACCATCTCCAATGCTTTGGAAACATGCATTTTAGTGGACTGCTCCCTTTCTTACTCGGACAGTGAAATGACTATTTATTTTCCAGTCGCTTTATGATAAGGCATCCTCGTGTGTAAAAAGGCATTTCATTGGGTTTCAATGACAGCTCTCCTCACACTTCCAAGCATCTTGCTCTTCTAGGCAAGAGCTCCAAATTTCTCTGAGTGAGAAGACTTCCAAAGGTTTAGAGCCAGCGAGCCGACATGCCAGAAACCTTTTGTCACGGGAGGAGGCCGGTGTGTCAACAGATCACGGGTCTTTGCTCATCCCTGCCCCTGATGGGCTGACATGCAGACCCTTGTGAGTAGGCACAAGATGATACAAATTAGAGGTTCCCGTGTTCCTCTATACTCATGGCAGGGCTGCAGCAGGAACAGCTGCTGTTTGAGGATAGGGAGCTGTAACCAGCTACTTGATGCCTGTCTCCTCTTTTCCCAGCCAAAAGGATCTTGGCAGAAGAGAAGCTCTTTCCACACACACAGGGTAGGTGATGGCAGGGAACCTGAAACAGCTGAAATACAACGCTGATCACAGCGACCAGTAAAAATGGGCTTGTTATCTTTACTTGGATGTGATAAGAGCTCCGTAAAAGATACTAAGAAATGCTTTCATTTCTGTTCAGATGTGGATTCCTTGTGTTTGAGACCATTTTTTGGACGAAAATACTGCATTTTATGAGGAATTTCTGTCATATTATGGATTCATGTTGAATACATACAAAATGCAACATGTTCCATGGCTTTGGAAAAAAGGTCTGTTTTGCTGGAAGATACTTCAAGCAGTGGGAATATAAAACTATTCATAAAAAGTCCACGAAAAGGATAAGAATATGAACATACCCAGCCTCAAGTGACAATTTTATCCCCTTCAGTTTTACTTTTTCATGTTGCACTTATAAATTTTCAAAACAAAATTAAAATCTTGCTCTTTAGCTTTTTTTTTTCTCCTAATTTTGAGTAAATATTTTTCTTGTAGTCCTGTCCAGAAGTTTTTCATGGTGCACAAAATTGTCTTAGGGGCAGTAATTTGTTACTGAAAAATGGGCAAGGACTAACACAAAACATAATTTTGTGCAAACATTATTAAATATTACCAATGATTTTCCTTTTCCAAGAAAATGACAGTATGACTGTTCAGGATCAAATAACAAAAGATTGTCTGGGCCAAGAAAAAAACCAAATAAATCACAATGTTTTGTTTGCTCTTATCCTGGTCTAGCTTCTTGTCATAGCTGCAGAAGATTCAATAAGAAAATCATTCATCTCTTGCATTGCTAAGCCTGAGAATGTCCAAATGCAGAAAAAAAGTTTGAAGATGGCTAATTTAATTAATCTTAAATATTTTGCTGAATTTTTTTTAAAAAGTTTACCTTTGAAAATGCAACAATTTTCAAAGAGATTGTTGCTAAGTACAAGGAGTTCATTACAAAATCCATGAGGTTCCACCAGTCATGAATGTAGTCCTGTAGTCCACCATCCCACATCTGTTTAATTTCACCCCAGATAAAACCTGTAAATAGAACATAATTCATTAAGCATGAATATTAAATAAAAAAGGCTGTGACTATTCTAGACACTTATCTCATAATGGATTGATTCTCCTTACATTAATTATAAAGGCAAGGTGGAGAAATGCTCTGAAATATACATCTAGTTAGGTGAGATTTTATCTTCCCATTAATATTTTCAGAATTAATTTGTGAGGGAAAAAAACAAACAACCAAACATTGCTTGTACAAAGGAAATTTCTTTGGCTTTCTTCAATCTCTTTTCCCATCATATACCAATAAGTATAAAAAGGGTCTTAAACCAGTCACCACTGCCAGCTCTGTTCTTGGTATCTGCTGCAATATAATTCAAACTGGAAAACTTATGACTGCGGGAGTCAATCCAACACATTAATTTATTTCAGTTGGAACGCACACAATAAGGAAGAGAACTTCTGTTGTTGTCAATGCTGACCTAAAGTCTCTCTTTTCCATAGGAAAGAGTAGAGTCTCCAGCAGAATATTTTTTGTTGATTCCTTCCTTTGGGACATGAAGGAATGGAAAATGTTTTCAGGTGTGCAGAGCACGCATTGCACTGGACACAAAGTGATACAGAAATATTCAATCCCAACAGGAAATATTGCAGGTTGTCTGACATGGACTTGATTTAACAGGTCCAGAAAAAAACATGTAGTGATTTTTTGATGCTATAAACATTAAAACCTCTCTGAAGAATATACTCCACATTATTGTATAATATGGTATGATAAACCAACATGGAACATTTCAATGCGTATTTCATATTATCTATGGAAATTTTTTGATAACACCAATAGCGCTTTTAATTTTTCAGTTAACTATTTTCTTAAAAAAACTTCTTACTTTGGTGCTCATTAGAGGGACAAAATTCACCACAACAGAGTCTGGTCTCTCACATATAGGTGTTGAGATACAGTTAATTCAACATGGATTTTCTCCACCTGCTTACCACATGTTCCTTTAGAAAACATTGAACAGATTTCATGCAGGGGCCTATAGGGTCCTGCATCACTCTAGTCTAGGCTTAATTCACACTGAATCGTAACATTTTGTCTCAATGGCCTTCTAGCTGACTGCATAGAAAACTTGTGTCTTCTCTCAAACAGTCGCTAAGAAGTAATTCCTGGTCTATTCTTGTTTGTGCCAGGTAGGTTCCCGAGTTATTTGGAAGGCAGGAGGGGTATAGATGGGAGGAGTACAATTTCATTTTGTAGTGTTTTGGCTTGAGTCTTTCTGTCTCCTGATTGCTTTCAATAGGAAAGGTTCCCTTCCTCACTACCTTCTCCCCTCAAATCTCAACCACATGTTCCCATCTTGTTTCTGTGTGTCATCATCAGTAATCACAATCTGAATTGTTATCTGAATCATCTGATTGGTCCAGCAACTTTTATTTTCAGAGGGTTCATTTTCACCCATGCCACCATCACTATTTCAGCATTCTGCAGAGCTGCAGGAACACATTCTGAGAAAGGACCATGGTGGGAGCATGTAGACAAGAAAGTGGGATATGCCCATTTCAGTGTTTACAATAGCCTAGACAGGCTGATTTCAACTCCATCTCTAGGTTATCAGATAAAGCTAATACACGAAATACAGCACTGTTAAGAATCTAACATTTATTTTCAAGCTGCAATAAATTGTGATGAGTCACGGTTAGAAAACAGTTGAACAGTATTGCATGGCAGGGGTCAATATCCACTAACAGCATCCACTGCTGCTGTTAACTGCCCACGTGCCATCACAAAGGGAACACACCTTCACAGGGCTACTAGGCAGGCTCCTAAATGCCTGCCTGTTCCAGCCAATGAAATGACTCAACCACTTACTCTTCAAAGAGCTGGTCACTCCTGACACACAGTATGAACATGACGACAGCAGGTCTGGCTTCCCTTTCCTTCCACAGTCCCCTCCAACCTTCAACACACAGTCTGTGTACTTGCAAATAACCCTGCGTACTCGTCCACTACCTTTTAGGCATAACGTGTTTTGTGGGCTGCAGTATACCCCTCACATTTCACACACCGCTCTGAATCGCCCCTGCTCCAACTGCAGAACAGCACGTAAAAATAACCATTGTGCCACAGGAGCCTGAGAAGACCTGGCTCCAGGCTAGACTTTAAGCCAAATGGTATATGATATGGATATGGCCCCTAAACCTCAGTGTTAGAGAACAGTTCCCTGGTCTTTTTTATTTAAAAATACAGACGTAGCTTCAGGATCTTGACTCTGGGAAGACTGTTACAGCACAGCAAGCAGACAGTTCATTGATAGAAAATCCCCAAATAAAAAGGCTTTACGGGTATCATTACACATTCATAGAATTAAATAAACTCTTTTGTAATTCATCACAGTTAAGCATTCCTGTTAAAATACACTTTATAAATGGAGCAGAAATAGGTTGGGATGATGAATAAGATGAATGTTTAAGCAAGAGGCTGTAGGTTCATTAATGTCTTCTGCCAAGATATTCTATGATTCACAACCAAAGACATGAACTGACACAAATGCAACAAGGCTGTTCTCTGTAAGACTGTTGCTCAGCATCATATGATTTGATAGCACTGCCTAAAATATAATAGAATTATGTAAAGATTGAGAAAGAAATGCTGACTAATGCTGCTGGATTTGATCTGGTTTGTGAGTGAAAAGCCAGACTGTTCTTCCAAGCACTTCCTGGGCTTCAGAAAATGAAATGTAAAGTTGACACTAACAGAGAAATACTGACCTATTATAGAATAGTGGAAGAAAGTATATGACTATTGTAAATTTGATCATTTTTAATTAGAAACACAACTAATCCAAACTACCAGTAATGCTGAAGTCACTTGGCAGCTGAACGCTCAGGGTATAATTTAACATGGTAATGGTGGTGGTTCTAAATGTCTTGGTTCAAGACAACTTTTATGTTCATCCTGATGCAGAGCTTGTTCTTTTCAAACAAATGATATATGGAAAACTGGAAATGCTACATTTTTGTTTGATGTACTGAAGATGTGATGGTTTACTCTCTCTTGCCAGACAAAGAATCTAAGTGCAAACTACATATATAAATACAGTTACTGATATCCTATAGAATCATAGAATCTTTGGGTTGGAAGGGACCTTTAAAGGTCATCTAGTTCAATTCCCATGCAATGAGCATCTTTACATGTTCAACTAAATCACATTGCTCAGAGCCCCGTCCAACCTGAACTAGAATGTTTCCAGGGATGGGACATCTATACCACCTCTCTGGGCAACCTGTGCCAGTGTTTCACCACTCTTATTTTGAAAAATTTCTTCCTTATATCAAGTCAAAATCTACCCTCTTTTAGTTTAAAACCATTACCCCTTGTCCTATCACTACAGGCCCTGCTAAAAAGTCTGCCCTCATCTTTCTTATATGCCCTTTTTAAGTTGCACTAAGGCTGCACTAAGGTCTCCCTTGAGCCTTCTCTTCTCCAGGCTGAACAACTCCCAACTCTCTCAGCCTGTCCTTAGAGGAGAGGTGTTCCATCCTGCTGATCAGTTTTGTGGCCCTCCTCTGGTCTGGCTCCAACAGGTCCATGTCTTTTCTGTGTTAAGGCCTCCAGAGCTGGGTGCAGGACTCCAGGTGGAGTCTCAGGAGAGCGAAGTAGAGGGGCAGAATAACCTCCCTCAACCTGCTGGCCACGCGTCTTTGGATGCAGCACAGGAGACAGTTGGCCTTCCGGGCTGCGAGCGCACATTGCTGGCTCCTGTCCAGCATTTTATCCACCAGTACCCCCAAGTCCTTCTTGGCAGGGCTGCTCTCATTCCCTTCCTCGTCCAGCCTGTATTAATACCAGGGGTTGCCCTGACCCATGTGCAGGACCCTGCACATGGCCTTCTTGAACTTCATGATGTTCACATGGGTTCACTTCTTGAACTTGTCCATGTCCCTCTGGATGGCATCCAGTCCTCAGGTGTGTCAACCACACCACTCAGCTTGATGTCATCTGCAAACTTGCTGAGGATGCACTCAATCCCACTGTCTATGTCACTGATGAAGACATTACACGGTATCGATCCCAGTACAGACCCCCAAGGGACATCACTAATCACTGATCTCCATCTGGACATTGAGCCATTGACCACTACTCTCTGGATGCGACCATCTAACCAATTCCTCATCTACCCAACAGTTCACCCGTCAAATCCCTCTCTCTCCAATTTAGAGAGAAGGAAGTTGTGGGGGACCATGTCAAAGGCCTTACAGAAGTCTAGATAGATGACATCCGTAGCTCATCTTATGGACTCCAGAGAACTTGAAGCTAGGCTGACTGATGGATGCTACACAATCCATGCATGCACAGTAGAGCTTCCCAGACATGTCATTTTGAAGGTAAGTCTTTGCAGCTACAAATTCTAAAGTTGATTGCCAAAATCCACAACTCCAGGAAAATTTCATGATGAAAGCTGAGATCAAAGTCTTTTTTTTTTAAAAAGAAAAAGACATACAGAGATTAGGGCAGCGTTATCTCTGTGACCTTGCACACTTCCCTTTTCTATTTAGAAGACTGGACACAACCTGACTTTATTATCTAAGGAGAATTGGGCAATTCCAAAATACAGCTTGACATAACAGAAGAGGAGAAGACATGCAGTGACAAGGCTATTTGATGTGTGTATTATTACAAGGAGGAAAGAGATCTAGAGTTCAGGCACTGTCTGCCTATTAATGTGCCAAAGAAGCAATGTCATCACATGGTAACAAAGCTCATGTCAGAGCTATGTGTTCAGCAGCAAGAAAGACAACATCTCAACAAAGCAGAGGGGACATCACCAGCCTGCACACAGGTACTGGGGAAAAATTGTTAAGAGGAACCAGCCAAATACAAGGGGTAGATCTAAAAGCAAGAGCCTTTAGACAGTCAGGCTGGGGACAAGTTCATTGCCCAAAGTGCTCTCTACCTCCCTGGGAGGAAACAAGCATCTCCAAGGCAATAATCTGGTCATCTGCAGGTGGCTCAATCTTCCCATTGA